TGTGTGTGTGTGTGTGTGTGTGTGTGTGTGTGTGTGTGTGTGTGTGTACGTGGTGTGTGTGCGCGTGTGTGCAGATGTACGAGGCAGTCCACACATCCAACACGGAGCAAAGCAGCGCATGACCTACTCACATCACGGTTGATCCCTACAGACTGTTGGTTCCCACCACCCACTGAGCCAGGGAGTTACTCCGACGAGTATCCGTCAGCATCTACAGGCAACACAGACATCCCGAACCGAGCGGCCCCCCTAAGAGTGCAGTTGGCACTCCAAACAAGGAACCACCTACTGTTTGGCACTACCTAAGGATGCTCAGTTTGGGTAAGCAAAAACACTTAGAAAAGATTAGGGGGAGGACAGACAACAACAAGAAAACATACAAACAAACATACAACTGAGTGTGTGTGTGTGTGTGTGTGTGTGTGTGTGTGTGACCCACCCGCTATCCCTCCGTGCGGAATGGCTGGATGGACTAGTGTCATGGGGCACTAGGCCATACAGCCTGGTGCCCCACGGACTCCGCACACACAAACAGACAGACACATACACATATCTTGTTAAAGACACCGCCCCACTCATACTTCACACCAGACAACTGTATACATCACAACTTTTAGTAGTTCGAATGATAGGACAGGGGTGTCAGCCCCGTGAAGGAACAACCACAGGGGGTACTTCCCCCAAATGGACTCGTGTGTGATGATGTGTGTGAACACATATTGCGGACACTTCTGCACAGTAAAAACCATGCACCATACCATCGCAACACTTCAGGAGGAGACTACGCATCTGAGTGGAGTAGAGTCCAAAGGCAAGGAAGGGAGAACAACAAAACACACAGGCCACAGACAGCAAGACAACGCATAGGCTGGAGGGCATGGGGGAGGAGGGAGGGACGACAACACACCAGCAATAGGCACGAGGGATATAGGACGGCAGACAACAACAAGCACAAAAGGCAGGCAAATCAGAAAAAAATAAAGTCCATAAAAGTTTCAGAGCCTGAAAAAAATAAAAACTGATGATGAAAGGTTGTTTCGTCGGAATTGCACCGACTCATCAGGAGGCTGAACCCTCGACAATCTGCGTGAATCTCCGTATTAGATGGTTTGGGTCATGAACCCTTTGACCCTTGTTGAAGGCAGACTGTGTCCAAGTGAAGACATGGCGCGCAGCGCGGAAACACGGAAGGCACGGCCAGCGAGTGGGCAGCAAGGCAGCGGAGCAGCGAAGCGCAAGGCAACACCGACAACACAGCCACACTACACAGTGAACACGGCAACTTGGAAAGAGCAACATGCAAAGCAAGCGGGACAGGCAGCAAGGCGGCGGTGGTGCGCAGACGAGGCAGTCCACACATCCAACACGGAGCAAAGCAGCACATGACCTACTCACATCACGGTTGATCCCTACAGACTGTTGGTTCCCACCACCCACTGAGCCAGGGAGTTACTCCGACGAGTATCCGTCATCACCTACAGGCAACACAGACGTCCCGAACCGAGCGGCCCCCCTAAGAGTGCAGTTGGCACTCCAAACAAGGAACCACCGACTGTTTGGCACTACCTAAGGGTGCTCAGTTTGGGTAAGCAAAAACAATTAGAAAAGATTAGGGGGAGGACAGACAACAACAAGAAAACATACAAACAAACATACACCTGATTGTGTGTGTGTGTGTGTGTGTGTGTGTGTGTGTCCTTTTTTTTTCCTGGGTTTTATGTTTTGTTTTTTTTTTTGAAATACATATCAACTTCAAAAAAACTACAAAAAATATGGGGTTGTAGATCTCCAGAGATCTACAACCCTATATTTTGTATTTTCGTTTTTTTTAATGCAAGGGTTTGAGCCCTTGGCATATGGCCCTGCAACAGGCGCATGCCCGCCCTAAGTGAAGGTGGGCCCCCTGAACCTGTATGCGCCCTGAACTCGTCAATTTTTGCAAATCTTGGTCGGCGCCAGACAGTTGCCACGCGCCAGTTGATTACATCCGCCCTGCACGTGAGTATGGGAAAGATTTGTGAGCCTTCCAGGCCATTCTAGCAACGTGGTTAAAGCAGGCCACTGGGCATGCCTTACCCATTCGGTCCCAGGCCACTCACTGTCTGAACCGGCCTGGGGGCAGACACTTTGGCTGAGACTGAAGCTACTGGAAACTCAGTCTCACGTGGGCGTGGTAAGGAAAGCGCCCGCCACTTTCGATATAGGAAAGGGCCGGGCGCCAGGGGGGACATTTGTGCACTTGCACTTGCGGGCGGCAGCTCTGCTGGAGCATCGAGTCGCTGGCTGCTGCTGTGCTAGCGGCGAGGCACGGGCTCGCACGGCCGTCAACAGGAAACAGGGCGCTGCCCATAGCCCAGCCTACCATAGACGGGCTTCGGGCTTGGACAGTCAGCGGGTGGTGGTGGTCTTCGTGTATGAGGAAGAAGGTGTGGGTAGATAAGAAGAGGGAGAGAGAGAGAGAGAGACAGAGATGAGGATGATGATGTGAGGGCACGTACCTGGTCTTGGCGATAGTCTACAAGGTTCGACATCTTCATGTACTTCGGTTCTGCTGCTGACCTCAACAGTTGCATTGTCAATTCGTAGGCTGGTAGGAGCTGTGTGATTGTAGCCTGGACGCTGAGCGCCAAGTAGGAGGAAGGGCTCATTTTCCGTGCGCAAACAAATCTCTGTGAAAATAACCAAAAAAACACCCATTTCATCTTTTTATTTTTTTAATGTTTTTTTTTTAAATGTATCGAAACTTCAAAAATTAAAATAAAAAATATTGGGTTGTATATCGGGAAAAGATCTACAACCCTATATTTTTATTTTTATTTTTTGCTTAGTTTTTGCCCAAGGAAAAAATATTCCGGGTTTCGGTGAACCACGATAAACGGGCGGTTCAACGTCGTTTTACCGCGGTTTCAACGGCTGTTGAGAGATTCAACGCGGGACCCGCGTTATTTCCAGCTAGTCAGCCTCCAGGCCCGAGTGCACTGGTGGTTTAAGCCCAGGGCTTTGGCACTTTGATTAACGCATTCCATTAGTTCTGTCCATGCTTGCAACCGCACGGTGCGCTGCACTGTCAGGTGCACCGTGCAGTGTGCGGTGCGGCCATCTCCCGTCTGGTACGGTTTTGTGCGTGACCTGTGCGGAGATGTCCATTCCCCCGTCCGTTCCTGCGCAGAATCTTCTTTTTTTTTTCCCCATAAGCACTGCAAGTGCCTGTTGGGTGCACGAGTCACGTTTCCTGTGTTCCCACCCACATTTCCCACACCCGTTGATGCAGTGACCAGACTGGACACACTAGTAAGACTGCTGCCACCATCTGTCCCATTGCCACATGCATCAGCGCCTGCCTCAAACCCCCCTTCCGCAATTCTTTTTCTTCGTCTTAATTCCGTTTTGCTTTTCTCCACCCTACATTTCTTCGCGGAACACGGTTCAGGGTGGCTGAGAATCTGTTGTCGCAATAACTTTCAGATCCACCCTTCGACACCCTTGGCATCTTTCCCTGCGACCCCGTCTTCATGGCAATGCTGCTTGATCAAAGCGGAGCTGTAGTTGCGGCCCGTCATCGTGACCTGCAAACAAAACCGCAGAAGAGAAGCCACAAAATCAGCTGTGTCCTGCGTCCCCTATGAAGAACACATTCGTCCCCCCCCC